GGTCGTACTCGAAACTTAAATGTTTGACGAGGAAATTTAAGAATTAACCAAGGTAGAGAAAGAAGGGAAAAAGAATGAATACATGATTCGTGAATCAAATGGTATGTGGATACAAGAAAACCAAAAGTATGTGCCTAATGCTGAGGATTTGAAGCAAGCAAATATTGGACAAAGTTCACTGTTCAACTTCTGCAATATTCCAAAAGTAATAAGATTTATCATACCACTCGACAGTTTATTTGATCAGCAGATTGAGGCGGAAAGAGATAAACCTTTGGATTGAGACAGCTATTTTCTGTTTCTAAACAGAAATGGAAAGATATTACTTTGGACTATGTGTACAAGTTTCCTTGTATACAAGATGGTTACGATTGAATGTGAAGTGATGGTTGGGCAACGTAACAAGTTAGTATATTTACTCCAGTGTTGAGTAACAACCTTTCCCAGACAGTGCAACAGTACTTATTTGTTTTATGGAAAAGAGAATTGGGTTACGGGACTGCTGAGTTTCTTAAGTATGTTGGTTTCGCCAGTTTTCAAAGTAACGCCATAATGTCCATGAAGCGTGTCATGTGTGTCGATTTTTGCTGAATTGTGGATGGAATGCTTCTGGGTAGAGAAAGATTCGATCACAAAAGAATTTTGGTGGACCCGAAATTTTGGATGAGTCTCCTCAAAGTATTCAGGTGATTAAGTTAACCTGAAGTAACCAGGAATGGCAAAAGAGACTAACAGATGGATATGCCACTAATCGAGTGTGTAAGGTAAATGGTTTGATATTTTTGGAAATTTCACCATGAACAGAAATAGTAAGATTCAGAAAGGAAGACAAGATAAGTCTTGAACACATCAGTCCGTTTTGATCACTAAAGGAATCAATAAAGTTGCATACATGTGGTGATGTCTTCAGAGTTGGCTAAGATACTTAATGTATTTTGGGTTCGATACGTTGTCACTAGGTGGCAGATTCGTCACATGAGATTCTGGTGCAACTATTGAGAATTAAATTGGATTCGACTTGATAAGGAACCAAGGACGACTTTAGATTGGAAAAAGAAAGTCTTGAGAATTAAGACAGAGTAAGTGGTAAAAGCTTTGTGAAGGAAATCATTCAGTAGAAAATTATGTGGGAGAAAGAGAATCGGATGAGAGAGATTTACCCGAAGCTATTGTTGAAGTATGGTTGATTTAGTTGGTTGCTGGAATTTCGGGGACGAAATTCTATAAGGAGGGAAGATTGTCACAGCCCGTTCCAAAAATATTACATTCGTGGCTGTGAATGGACGAAATTGCCCTTAAGAAATACTAAGTATGTGAAGCTCAAGTTGATAATTATCTAGGTTCCTAAGTTTTGAAAATAAAATGGAATTTATTAAGGATGGAACTTAGATTTTTAGGTTAAAATTTTGTGGTTTGGAGTTGGGGATTGGAAAAGGACCACATGGGATCCCCACACCCCTCAATCCTCTCCCTATTTTCTGCATACTGTCTCTCTCTCTCCTCCCTCACGAATCTCTCTCTCTCTGTCACTCTTCTTCTCCGTTCGAACAAACCAACCGCAAAACAACCTTAAACTTCCACCAACGACGGAGTTAAGACCACCATCGAACTCCTGGAGACTCCACGATCACGTAGACACCAATTTCAGGTAAGTTTTACTTCGGAAAACCTAGATTCTAAACTCCCCGTGAAAGTGCACTGTTCATGATTTTCGAATTGACTTTGTTTTAGGACAATCCAAGCTCATAGTGAGCTTAGTGAGGTCCCAAGGAAGCTCGGAGTGCTTCGTTGGAAGTTTTTGGACGTAAGAACACGGAGATCGACAAGTTCAAAGTTTGGCCGGAGCTTTCGAGGCTTTTTCCGGCGAATCCCCGGCGAGTTAGGAGTCGAGGTAGGTATCAATCTCTTCATCTCGTCAATTACTACAACTTTCCTTTTTGTTTCACTCAATTTCGTTGAGTATTGAAGAAGTTATACTCATTTGAAAAATACCCAGTTTCCGGCGACCTCCGAGGCTTTCGAGGCAGTTTCCGGCCAAACCACGGAGAACTAGGTGTTTTGTAAGGTACCATTCTCTTTGTCTCTTCAAGGGCTACAACTTTCGTTTTTGAATCACTTGATTTCGTTGAGAAATGACAAAGTTATGGCAATTTGAAAAACTGCCCAGAAAACGGCCGCTGGAAAAACCAGTCCGGCGACCCAAGGAAGAAGAAGGTGCTACAGTAAAAAAAATAAAATAAAATAAAATTATTTTAAAAATATGTCGACGTCCGTGACGTCGAGTAGATCACCGTGGTATATTCATATACCCAAATTGAGCACCGTATGAGAAAGTTATTAAGGATTGTTGGTTAGATGTTCGAATAACGTTTTATAGTTTTCACATTTAGGTGAAAACGTGAATTGACGATCCGACCGTTAGATCGTCACTAAACTTTGATACGTAGTAATACGTAATATTTGAGGATTATTGGAACTTTCGGATTGGGAATCCGATTTACGGATCTTCAGGAATTGGAGTTGTAAGTTCATAAAATAAAATGTTAACCGTCACTTAGTTTTGGAAATTGACGGAGATCCGACCGTTGGATGGTAATGAAATTTTAGGATGTTATCCTAGAGATATATTGTGGACCTCTGGAAGTTATGGATTTAAAATCTGAGTGGTGGATCTTCCGGATCGAACTACGCAGTGACGTATTTTATATAAGTTATATATTCTATCGATATGAATTCTAAGGTTGGAATTGATTATTGTTTTAGGCGCCGATCGTCATGACGCCTTGGCGTATTGTGCTAGGGAGTTGTAGGGCGAACTCCAGGTGAGTGGGCAGTTTTGTTTTCCGTATATATATATACTTGCCGTTTTCCCAGAAATTGAAAAAGCATGAAATTATGCTTTAAATAGAAATATGTGAAAAGTATATAGAACTATATGAAAAACGTGAATTGAATTGCCATGTATGAAATGATATGAATTGATATATGATGCATATATATGAATTGGTGCGGCGGACGCACAGGTGAGTATCAGGTGAGTATTTAATTACTATTATGATGATGTTGATGTATATTGAGCTCAAATCCTGCACCATGGTTTAGTGCTTATAGTATTCACCGCATCGCACGCTCGCCTTGGATCCAAGTAGATGCTGGTCGCACAGTCCACGCGGAGTGGGTGCGACGGGCCAGTCGAAGAGTGTTAGTGAGATTTCGACTGGTGGGTGACCTTAGATTATGTGCACAGATGATTGATGAGAAAGCACTAGAGCGTAACTTGTGTGCAGAAGGCCGGACAGGTCACAGAGGTGACTCCGGTAGAGTGAGAGTGATAGATTTTGAGCTCTAGGTTCAACCGTACATGGCTATTAGAGGGCCTCCGGTTGATTACTTTCTTGCACCTGATATGATTATTGTTGATGCATCCATACTTAACTGTTGAATTAGACATGGCATGGCATAATTGTACTGAAAAATGTTGAGTTAATGAATTGAAGTATTGAGAATATATATGTATATTTATATTTTACATTTCTGGGAAAATATACAAGTTTTACGGATTGGGGTTACAACGTTTTGAGAAATGTTTGGATTTGGAAAAGAATTGTTTTACTGACCCACTCAATTTTGGTTTTGCGCCCCTCCAGGTTCAGGAATCACAAAGGTGTGGTGACTACGAGGAATTTGACGGTGTTCTGACAGATTGGACAAAATTAGGACTCACATTCGGGTGTATCAACTTATAAATTGTATCTTAAAGCTTCCGTACTGTGCAAATGGTTACGTCACTCTCACGTGACGGCCAGCATGCCCTCCTTCGGGACGGGGTGTGTCATTTATAGACATGCATATGTGGGTACATAAAATGCAGCAACCTTAAAAACCATTTTACATAATATTCTCCAAAAACTTTGTACCCATATATTTATGTAAAACAAATTTGAACCAACCAAAACATATTATAGCAATAGATATATTAGAACGAACCATGTTGATTAAAAATGTACCCATGGACATAAGTGTAGCCAACCAGACATTGAATAATCAAGACTAATATATAATAATAAAAGAAAAAGAAAAAAAATATAAAGAACAAAAGAAAATGACTTCAGAATGGTACAGTTTTTACATAGCCCGCTCACTCTACAGTCTCTGCATGTTTGAATCAACCAGATTCCTTGAGAAAGCGATGCATGCATTGCCTTGCCTATGCCACACAAATCTCACAAGCCGATAAAACCATTGATGCTAATTTGTATTTTAATCACAATAGGTTTATTCAACATATATGCATTGGATCAATTCAGGAATGGAGAAAAAATGGAGAAAATTGGGTTTGGGGTGTTGTAGATTCCAGATGTGCATAAGGGAAGAAGAAGAATGGAGGAGTTCAAATGGATTTTCCTTGTTTTAAACTTACTCATATAGTTTATTTTGCCTTAAATGCAGAAAGGGGATGAGATTTCGTTTATGATGACGTGTAATATTTTAAATACTAAAATGATGACATGGAATAAGTCAAGGGACCTTGATCTAAAATAGAAAAATAATAAGATTTCAATCAATGTAATATGAAAATAAGGGATGGGAACCTAATTTTTCCAAAAACTTGTATATACTATAGAAATAATTGATGACATAAGAGACAAGGAGCTATTTATAAATATTTTACTTTATCCCTATTTTTATCTGAGAATTTTTTTTGTTTTTTCATCGGATCTGTTCATTTTTACTATGTTCATAATCTAATCAACTAGAATTTTAATTTTTTTTGCTATTTTAATGTTTTGATTGGTTTGGATTGCGTTGTGCAATTCAATCATTTTTTATTATTGAGATTCCGGTTTGTTTGGTAACTACTTTTAATCTACTTCCTTTGAGCTTTCACTTTTTAGTTCTCAGTCTTCATTTTTTCTTAAACTAAAAGTATTTACCAAACAAGATTTTAGTTTTCAGTTTTCAAAAAAGTGCAAAATAAAAATTAAAAGCTGAAAACGAAATGGTTATCAAACGGCCTCTTATTCAATGTAAATATTACTATATCTATACGTCTACATATCTGCATATACATTTTACTCTAATTCAGCAATAGCTTCTAGCTCTAGGCGTCTTGCATTTCTAGTTGTAGGACCAGTAGGCACAAAGGGATTAGGCGGCATACTCAAGCTTTCTCCTCCTCCTTCTAACATCTGAACCGCTATTTTCATGGAAGGACGATCCGACGGGTGCCACTGGATACACCATAGCCCTATAATTGCAAGTTTCTTTGGAATTTTACCATCTCCTTCTTCCCCAATGTGGATTTGTAGGTCATCCCCTTCCTCTAGAAGATTATAAATCCACTGTGGATAGTAAATTTCATTTGTAGTGTTATCCGTGATTGAACCAATATTCTTCCTTCCTCCTACCATCTCAAGCAGCAGCATTCCAAAGCTATAGACATCTGCCTTGTAAGACACATTTCCGAAATTCCTGGAAAACACTTCAGGTGCAATGTAGCCCATGGTCCCCCTAGCTGTAGTCATGGACACCAAGCTTTGATCCTTGGAACATAACTTGGCCATACCAAAATCAGAAATTTTTGGAGTGAAGTTTTGGTCTAGCAAAACATTATGGGGTTTGATGTCGAAATGCAGGATTCGTAGATCGCATCCCTGGTGAAGATATTCAATTCCTTTGGCTATGCCTAGGGCAATATCTTGCAACTTATCCCAACCAAGAAATGAATTCTTACTATCTGCAGATGAAATGAAATCCTGCAGGGAACCATTGGGGAAGAACTCGTAAACAAGAGCTCGTGCAAATCCATCAGCACAAAATCCAACCAAGCGAGCCACGTTGACGTGGTGGATATGACCCATCGTTCGCACTTCATTTACGAACTCTTCCCCATCTCCCTTGGAACTGTTGAGGACTTTGACAGCAATAAAGAATTCGGAAGAGAGCATTCCTTTGAAGACAGTTCCATAGGCTCCTTCGCCCAACTTGTCCTTGAATTGATTTGTAATCCTCTTAATATCTGCGTACGAATACCTGGTTGGTTTGAGTGCTTTGTAATCCTCCAAGAATCTTTCAATTCTTAATCGACTCTCTTTCTCCTTTCTATCAGCGCTATGTACCCGATATGCTGCAATCATCAGTAGAACAAGAAGCAAAGCACCCAGGATTCCACCTGTAACCACTTTTTTCCATGTGTTGCCTGTAGAAGATCATTGCAAATTTAAACGAGACTGTCAGGTAATATTCCTAGTAAAAATGGATTGGACAACATATTTTAAATAATAATTACTAAGACGTAAATGTAAAGATGTTTAAAACTAGCAATGAATATATATGTTATCCTTACTTGGTTTCTTCCAGTCAAGACATTTAATTTCACTATTTGTGCCATCGTTCTTCCACCTACACCTCTTTCCCTGTGCTTCACATACTGTGCAATTTGGTTCAGACCATTTGAAACGAACATTATAACCGCCTACCCAAGAACCGAATGGAACTGATAAAACATCATACATCTTTGAACAAGATTGTACTTTCTGGAAGAGATCTTCCAATAGATATGTAGAACTGGAATCAACGGCATAAATTATGCGGCCAGGGTCGCCGAGGCAGGGGAATTGATACGGATATGGATCGCTTGCAACAGAAGTAGTACAACTGAATAAGGTCAAGTTACTCATGTCATCGACTGACACGTTGAAGGGAGAGGGTGGCATGTTTGGGATTTCAACAGACTTTAGCAGCAGGCAGCTACTTGGGGGATACACTTGGATTTCCTGACTCTTGTAATCTATGTGTTTGACAAATAATTTTACTAGTATTTGCTGCTCATATCTTACATTGCATTCAAGCCCAGGATTTCCACAATGATGTTTGCGGCTGATGCGCAATGGGAAATGGATAGCTGCGCCTTGATCATCGCCACACTTGGATTCCAGGCACGCATGGCTTGCTCCAACTAGTTTGAAGAAAACCAGTAACAATATGCAAAAGTAAGAGATGATCAATTTCTGCATTTCTGAGCTAATAATAACAAAAATAATGCGCAAGGATTTTTCTTTTGTGTAATTGAGCAGAGATATATACGTAGTAATTATACGGTGTCATCCATTGACGAGAGAGAGAGAGGGAGAGAGCATTATGATACACAATTCTGTCTTTTGCCGTTGACTGACTCTGTCAAAACACCATTGACTGACTTTTCTCTGGGATATTTGAAGTCCTTACTGAAACTTCACGGAAGGTGATTTATGTCCTTACTGCAACTTCATGGAAATTAGTGGAGGCAGGTTCTTCACCTTAATTTTAGCCTTCTTCTTTTGCTTTTTAAGTGAAACTTAACGGCGCTAAGGAAAAATATGGCGAGAATAATTAATTGGGGAAAAGATTGTCTTCCTTGATTCCAATCATTTGAAAGTTCTACGACGAGAAAACTCTTACTATACCAATGCATGACCATGTCAATAACATATACAATTGTACTAACAATAATTTTCATTTTTTTTTCTATGTTCCTCCTCAGTATTTGCCATACATGTTTGAATGTATGAACAAATATATATTGTGATATGCAACAAAATTTAAATAGTTATAAGATATGTGACTCTGTTTTAACCAAAAGTTCTATATACATGTAGACGCACAAGGTTTTTGAGGCGGTGCAACCAAAAAACAAATGAGGCAAAAATGAACAGATAAAATGAGAGGAACATAGTCAAGTGATGGTGCTCTAAGTTGCATCCCACTTTAACTACAAACGTCATTAAACCCACTCCTTGTAAATCATTCACAATGGACGCACATTGAAAATTTGTTGCACACTTGCCCAATTCGTTGCTTCAGTTTGTGGATAGCTGTCGGAATAATGCTGAGGATGATTAAAAGATTTCAATTTTGCTATGATGCCATCCATGTGACCTCCGTCTTCACAAATCTTATCTTTTTCCCAGTCGGCGGAAACCCTTGGCGGCTTTTAGCACTAACGATTTTATGCAGGTTACTATGGGCTCGTGGCGGCGGCGATGACAATGTGACAGTGGCTCTGGCGTGTCGTGGTATCTCCTCTGCCACCCAAGCCCCAAGCCTTTGTTGTCCTTGCCACCGACACACCCACATGGTCGTGCAACCCATGCCTCCTGCCACGTCTCTTCCCTTTGGACATGCATGTGGACATGTCATCGACTTTAGGTTTAAGTTTTTGTTTGTAGGACCTTGAGCAGGTTAGGGTAGTAGATTTTGTGTTACTGTGGTGATTTGTTTGTATTTCTTATGCGATTTATTTGGTCTTATTGTCGATGGTTTTATGTCAAGGTACCAGTGTGAGGATTGCCGCGTTTGTCGTCTTTGTGACAATTTTATCGGGACCCTTGTTTGTGGTTGTCTATTATGGTAGCCGTATAGGGTTTACAAAATGTTTGCATCTTGTGCAAACTATCTCTAGATAAAACAAATTGGCCATGGAACACTCTATCGCTTTCTGTCAAAAAAAAAAAAAAAAGATGCACAATGTTATCAATCATGTTTTCTCTTCTACATGTTTCTTTTGTCCAAAAAACATACACTAAATCAGAAAGAAAAAAAAAAAGGTCTTCCAAATACTACATTTCTACAATGAACAGTTGGTTACATGTAAATGCAAAGAGAGAACAATCTAGTATAGTACCATGAGAAAGTAATTAACACCGAAATCATCATATTCAGTCTTGCCTATTGTTAAACCTTCAAAAACACAATATCTATAACAAGGAACTAACATCAAAATCCATAAAAAAACTAAAAAATTGTGTAACAGATCCAACCAATACACAATTCAATCGGAAGAAAAAAAGCACACAAACATATGACTATCAGAAAATAAAAATAACTAGCAAAATTCACAATTGGCATAAAGAGTATACCCGAAAAGTTAAAAATATAATTCAAGAAAGAAGAGAGTAGAGGCGTTGACCTAGAACAAAAGCAAGAGATGATGCAAGAGCCGAAAATCCCTTCGAAGATGGGAGAGTTAATCGAGTGAAAGATGCAGCCCTAGACCCTTATCAGGTTTTATCATGAAATTTGGCGCCCTAAACCCTTATTCAAGAAAGTTTGACGCTGGCAAGATTTTTCCGCTTATAAATTTGTGATTCTCGTTATAGTTGGAATTGTGAAATTACACCTATTTAGACGAAATTAAAATCGGGAATCTTCATCCCCTATTTCAAGATTGGTGTGTATCCATCTAGAAATATGCATATACATTTTACGTAATGACTATAAGATTAAAAAGGAAATTAGCTTTAGATCTGCATATGAAGCTTCCCAAGTCTTTGGATCTATTTGGATAAATTTTGTCACGACAGTGACAGTGTTCATCTTCTCTAGTTATAAAAAATTGTACCGTACGTCTTAGTCTACCAATCCGATACATGTATTAGTAACAACTTGTTTTCCGGTATTATCTTATTAGAGGGCCAAAGGAGATCGAAGCAACTTGTTCACTAACTCACATCAATATCAATATTCATGTTCATCTTCATTTCTCAATAAACTCACATCAATTGGAAGCCCTACCACTTAGAAACTTAGACTTCTTTCTTTGTCAGATAGAGTTATGTAGAAATTTCATCCCATATTCCATTTGGAAACTTGCACTCTCGTTCCCCCTAGAGGCTTGAAAGTAAATACAATACTATGACTTTTCTTCTAGTCAAATAGCGTGTCAATGACTGCCACTTAGAAAATGAGGTTTTCTTGTTTTTTTACTAAATCATTGTAACTTTTTTTTTGGCTTCTAATAAATGTCTCGTCTCCCTCTAAGGTGGTTCTTTGTATTCACCATCAATCATTCACATCCTCTTAAATAAATAGTTGATTTTTTTTCAAAGGAAATACTTTTTTTTCTCCAAATAAAGTCATATTTATTTGGAAGTTTTAACGAAACACTCCCAGGACTGTTCACTTCTAACGAAAAGCCACATTTTTACCTTTCTCTGGTACTATTCACTACACATTTATTTGTCATTTTTCATTAAAACTAAAAAAAAATTGGACTTTTCATTAGTTTTCCTTCTTTATTTTTATCTTCTAATAAACATGAAGGCATAAAAGAAAGAAAAATGGTGTGGCAAACTCACAATCCCTTTCCAGATCATTGAAATTTCATTCGTTCAACTTTTACGCCTCATGCTCATTTTCCTGAGAAATTTAATAAAAGAAGAATAATCATTTGGACAACACACATAATTCCAAAATTTTGGATAGCAACTAAAAAGAAAGCTTTCGTTCTTGGACTGATTTCCTATGAGTGTTGAGTACCCAGCATCCATGTCCACTTCTTGGACTGATTTCCTATGAGTGTGAAGTAAATGTCCATTCACACCTCCGACTAGCCCTCCCTGGAGGAGCCTTGTTTTTATCACTCTAAGGACTGTACCTAGACCTCACAATAATGTCACGTGCTGAACTCCGGGACATGATACAATATTAATTTATTTAATTTTATGGCTGCATAACATTCGAGCTAGACTACCTATGTACCATGTGAAGAGATCAAGTCAATTAGTATCAAAATTTGGTACACTGAAAGCGTTAAAGCCGCCCTCCATTCAGTATCCAATATTCAGTATTCAGTATTTACTATTGTCTGCATTAAACCTATGACTTTGGCTTACGTCTATTGTTGGTGCCATATTTATACTGTGACATTAAAATACTCCAAATTTAGCTTACTCAGTCTCCCATATCACGATATTGAATTCAATGATGCCATTCTTTCCAAAATCTGAAAAAAATGAGGGTTTAAATTTGTTTGGATTTTGACATAAGCCAAGAATGGGATTCCAAAATTGATGATATAATTAATTGTAGCATCGTCACTAAATTAATTTTCGAATTACATTATTTTATATGCACAATGATATATGGAATAAATTGGTTATGAACTCCTTATTCTTGAAATACAAACCTAAAATTTTTCACTTACAAATACGTTATTAGACCGTAGTACTAATATCCGAATTACATTTTAGCCTCTCAAATCTGTTTTTAGATTCTACAATCCAACATTTGCTACTGAATCCCATCAACTCACTCCCCGTCCCCAACCATTACCTAAATCTCTTCAAACCCAACATTTGCTTCTAAATCCCATCAAATCTGTTTTTATATCAAATCACTGGAAGATGATTCCAACTACAACTCTAAGATCATCCTCCAGTGATCGTTGAGTGTACTTTTGAAAATCGAATGCCTTGTTGTTCTGACAGATGAGTCTTATATCATTCATTTCACTGTTATTTGGTTCTTATTTCTCACATTTCTTTATATCTAATGTTTTCACAAATTTTGTAGACTCATCTGCCATAACAATAAAGACACACTACTCAAACAAAAGAGATTAGCAAGTTTGCTAATCCCCAGCAACGGCGCCAAATTTGATGTGAAAATTAACTTGACACACAAATTAAACCCTATGAATGATAATTGTAGTAAAGATGTAAGTAAGGATCGTTCTAAACCGGGGATTAACTAGGGATGTTAATCTACACAAATATGACTCAGAAATACCAAATTAGACTTAGAAACACTCAAATAGACTAAAAAACACACAACTAAACACTACAAACTCAAAATTGACATAAAACACTCAAAACAGCAAAACTAAGTTAAAAAGACTCAAAACAGGTTCTAAGAACTATTTGGACGAATTTAACACTAGTGGGACTTAAAACACTAAGTTGGACAGATTGAAACACTTTTTTAACTAATCTAAGACACTTAATTAGAAGGGGGATTGATTTGGACGAAAATTAACTAAACAAAACAGATTGCAAAACAAAGTAAATTAGGTGATTTGAATGATGAAAACTTAGCCAGAGGATCTTTCTCCACACATGACATATGCATATAAACCAATTTCCAGTATTGTTCCCTTAAACCATGAATGACAACACCCCAAGTTAACCGTGACAGCACAAATTAACCATCAGATTTCCCTTATTTCATTGAATTGGACGGGATACACATCACAACCAAATTATCCTTCTCAAGTTCCCTAACTATGAAAAGCATGATAGAAAACATATCAAAGGTCATTAAGTTCTTTGAAAATCATAAGCATTGACGAGGCATTCGTAACTATGAAAAGCATGATACTCCTGCCAAGGATTTACTTAACACGATTGTGACTAGCAACCTTTACTACTTGTGAATATAAGTTCATAATGATTAGGTGAAACTCCCTTATACTCTAGCATCAAATTCATGCATGCAAATTAAGTGTCGACCCTCAATCAACATACATAAACAAGTTTTGATAACTCAGATAAGCAAATCACATTCAAGACTCAAGAAACAATAACTGGATGTAATCAATTCATATCAAAACATATAATCATGGCTTCAAATTCACCTCCAACTAAAAAGAGATTAGTTCCTCATGTCTTTGAAAACATAAAACCAAATTAAAAGCAACATTGAAACAAATCTAAGGATAGAAAGAACCAAGAACGCCCTAGCAACTCCAATGGCAGATTTCAAACTCCCCCTTGGATTGCAAGCCACGACACAAGCTTCTCCTTCTCCTTCCTCCACGCAGGTACACCTTTTGAATTCTCTGAAATCTCTCAATTGTATCTGAATATATGTGGGTGCGTGGGTCATTTATTTGTGCATCAAAGATGTATATTTATAGGGCTGAGATGCGGCACAAATTTAGGGGTTCTAGAAGGATAAAGGTGCGGCATAAGTGTAAGGAAATGATAGGCCTTCTAGAAATCAGATATTTAGGTCCTCTTGCAGCTGGAT